CGCCCATGCTGATTGGAGGGAAACTTCTTAATTTTATATTCAAGTAAATACAGTATATGCACCATTCACTATAGCATCCTTATATCATATCAGAAATAGTCATTTGTTGTTGTCAGGGAAGAATTACAGTGGTTTATAAGGGAAAATAGTATTACAAGTTAGCTATGAGTGAGCCTGAAAAGTTTGGATGGCCAGCCAAAAATAATAGTATAAATACAGATTTATACAATCTGTCTACAAGCCTTTTGAGCAAGCACACCTCTTTTTTTCTGTTGGTTTTCCTATCATTTTCTTCATGAGAATCGGTAGCAGCTGCTAATCTTCTAGAATAGCATTCTTAATCTTGTGTTCTGTCATCCAATATAAAATGGTTAACTCCTAAAGACTAAATTCAAGAAAAATCCAAAACTGTATTTTATCACATCGCATCAGAATAATTTTTCTGGTTATTATCCTGTTGCTAAAGAAAATTATCTGCCTGATCTTTCAGCAACAATGAGATGCTATGGTAAATCAGTTAAAGTACTGCAGATAGTTTAACCAGACTGTTTTTATTATCTTATCATCTATTCTCTGAAAAAAAGGAAATTAGCAGCTGTCTTGCTTCAAAATGGAATTATGGCTTCCCCGAATCCCCTTTTGTGTTAACTGCATCTCTTCATTTCCTCTAAAACTTTCAAATACCACTTCACTGGAAGCTCACCTATCCTGCTTAGTGTTGGAGTGGTACAACCTCACATACTACCACAGAAGCAGCTCCATTCTCTGCTTATTCTAACTTCAGGAAGCTTTCCAGAAGTGCTTCCTTAATTTCAGTTTATTCACCTTCTTCCTCATGCAAGGATAGGACAAATATATTTAGAGCCATTTCCAAAAGAAAATATTTCAAAAGAGAAGTAGCTATTAGTTCTTAATTGTTACATGTAGACAACCTGGGACAAGTGGCCAGACCAGACCATTGCCACATGGCCAGATTAGACCCTGACAGTTGCCATGTGCTGTATCAGGCTCCCACTGTGCCTGCTCTGCATACCAGATCAGGTCCTCACTATCCCTTCCCCATGTCCCACATTGAGCCCACAAGCCTGGCACCACCCATCCACCCATAAGGCAAAAGGGTTGGAACCACTGCTGTAGAATGCAGTTCAAACAAAGCTCAGAAGGAAGCCAGCTTGGAAATGAGCCTTGCTTCAAATCTTCTGTCTCCTCAATGCACTGCTCTTTGCTCCCTTTACTGCCCCAAGCGTTATCCAGCATTGCAACTCATTCTCTGCCTGCCTCCTCATCTTTTTTCTTCTATTTTAAGGATGTTTGCAATTTCAAGAGAAGAGAACAGAGTATAAGCAAACATGCGATAGAAAAGAGGCAGAAAAACAGATTTCCTTTCTTCTTATTTTTACTGCAACACAAACAAGCAAAATTATTTCATTTCTTCCCCTTTTCACTCCAATTCCAACAGAGAAGAGTAATGCCTTCTATTAGAAATCATGTAAAATCATTTCTTGCAAAAAGAAAGAGAATTTACTCTCAGAACTTGCATTATACCAAAAAAGGTACAATTTCCCTTACTCCATGAAAGCCCATTCAAAATGGAGAAATCATAAGTAAAAAATCAGCTAGCCTATCTCTATGTAAGGAGCTAAAATGTCACGTTTCTGTAATAACGGAAGATCAGACCTCAGAAAAATTAGACTGCTCTCACACTTTTCTTGTATTCACAGATTTATTCTATTCTAGCTCCCAACATATTTCTACTGCCAACAATAGCATGTCTCAAAAAATTCCAGTGCTAATAATATTTGAAGATATTCTTTTCAGCTGCTACAACTCAGAAAATATCCCCTAAGTGTCCCCTGCTACAACTAAAATCTTTCCCTCTAAGAATGTACTATCAAAAAAGTCTAAGATACTTGAGAAACACAATAGATATCTGATCAACCTGTCTTTGTGCAGTCTGTGTCATGGAAGAGTTTTCTTCAAAGTCCAAATCTCCTGGGTTATACACTAGCCAGAAGGTAATTAAAGTGCAGAGGTGTAGATCACTGAACATGACTCTTTCTAGATGTAATCTTACTCGGGCACAAAAACATCTTGGAACATCGCTGGAAAAAGTTATAAATGTACAGGTACCAGGCTTCTAACATATATCAGTGTAGTCCCTAGAAGTCAGTTTCTCAGATATATATATGTCTATCTTTGAACAGGCATGCTTATAAACACTTTCTGTTCTTCTAATTTCTCCAGAGAGGCCTTTCTTACAAAGATAATATCTGAGCCACATCGCCAGAAGTATCATATTTTGCCATTCCATGGGGAAATTTAAGAGACATCTAAACTTCATAAAATGGATTATAAGGGAGAAATTCTGCCTACATGAAAATCCCTTGCAGTACAAGGACAGAGATGTCTGGCCAATAGCCTTGTTAGTCTGAAGTCAGGTAGGATAGCACCTTAGATACAGACCAGTTAGTGTCTAATGTGCCACCTTGACCTACCTTCTACCTGATTTCGGAACTAATACAGCAAACCAACTCAGTGCTCATCAAAGGCACAAAGCTCAGGCAAATGAAATGGATCGATCTGTACAAGCTCTTTAAACCAGTTAGTTTGAGAACAAGGTAATAATGGATGGACATATTTTATTTCTTGGGACTTAATGCTTATTTCTTGGAATTAATCCCACTTGGGTAGATGACAGAGCTCACAGGCCAAATTGTTGCTTTAACTGGGAATTATTTCTATTAGATGTTAAACAAAAGAAAAAAGAGAGTCCAATTCAAGATAAAATGAGCACAAGCAAAACTCCACTTCCAAAAGAATTCCTATTCATATTAAGAAAAATGTGATAAAAAAAATTACAGCTTGTCGTATAAGAGACAAGGGTTAGGAACCTTCCTTTCTTTTAAGTGAAGGTTTGGAATTGAAGCCTTGTTGTACCCTGCTGTTCTACCCATCTCCTGTGGTGGTTTGGCCATAATTTAGAAAACAAGGCTAGTAGAAGTGTGTTTTGTTCTGTTTTGCCCCCTCCCTACCTTATAACAAATATTATTTTGGCTTCCTTCTGTGGTGGGAGAAACCTCCCTAAGGTTCGTTGTCTAGCTGTAATTTGATTGACAGACAACGTGGGTAAAGACAGACAGCTGTTTATTTGTTCGAGCAAAGACCATAAAACCAGCAAAAGGCAAAATGCCCCGCCCCTCAAGGGTGAGGCGATCTTTTATACTTATTACAAGGCAAGACTACATGGTTAACAAAAAAAGCAATACTTGGGCGGTGCTTTACAAATCTTTGTAACAGCATATTTCTATTAAGCTGAACTAGCACTTTTTAAAAGCTAAAAGTTAAGTAACAGTAACATTATAGTATGTTAGCAAAACCTTACACAGTAGTAGATACTTCTCAAGGACACAACCACTGAACCCAGAACAATGGCTTTCCTGTCTTATCTTACTTCTTGCTGTAGCTGATTTTTCAGCACACAGACACAGATTCACTTTTTAACTCAGAAAATGCTTAATACAGTTAAAATGATTACTTGACACAAGCAAAGGCTTAGCTATCATTCTGCCTTGTGGTCAGCTGCATTGCTAGGCCACAGGTCATGCCTTGTATTCAGCTGTAAAGCTAATACTTCTTAATAATCCAAATGATTGATAACCTAACAGTATGCTATCAGAAAACTATTCTATTTCAGGGTAATAACAAACCTGTGCACTACACTTCTTCCATGTCTGAAGAAGTTTCTCTGAATGTGGTCAGGCCTATTGTTTAATTATTAAAATGATTTGAGCAGAAAATGGAAGCCATTTCCTGTAGAGCAAATTAACTGCAACCAATTTAATCTACAGAAAAAAGCAGGGCTGTCTAGTTATGAAGGCTAATCTTTATCTTTTAGGAATTACAAGCTTGCTCCATAAGAGGAACCAGGTGCTGGCTATATCACAGAGTAAGCCCTCCTGAACACGAAGTGTCCAGGAAGTGTGACCTCCCAGAACAAAATGTGGTGATGCCGATAGACACTTCAAGATGTCAGAACAGGAGTAGGACAGCCACTATTACCTCTTACTGTAAGTAGTTGTGCTGCACAAATTGCTAGTTTCGTGCCCCTGGAGGCCTTTCCCAAATACCTCAAGGAGAGAGTCACACTCAGGCTGAGTTCATTATAAGTTTATTGATTGCGCAATCGGTCGACAAAGGGGTTAAGTAACCCAAAGCAGAGTCAACCCCCAGTCTTTGTCTGAGGGTTTTTTATAGCTTACCTAAACAAAGAGCTGTAGCGTGTTTTACAACTATTGGCAGTTTCACAATTTTACCGTTACGTTTAAGTTTCCACAGGATGTCAGGGCCTTTTAAGTTAGACTCAACTTATTATGGGATAGATGAAGGCGCATGCGTGTTGGGGAAGCTGTGGTAAACTCAATGTCCTTTAGTAACCCCTTATCTTTGTGTAATTTTAGGTTATTGAACAGGTGCGATTGTGAAACTCGATGTGTAAAGCTGTTTTTAACCTATATGCAGAAGCTGTTAGCAAGCCATGTTGAATACAGAAGCATATTGCAAAAATAAAGCATCATGTCTAATTTTAAGCCTTATGTTTAAAATCTAATGTATTTGTACTACAGTTGCGTATAAGTTTATGTATGTAATTGTAAAAGCTGTTGTGGATTTGCAGCAGGGCTCAAGATCCCTGCAAAGGCAGAGTGGGAAAGTTTGCACAAAGTTGTTGCTTGCAAGTGTGTGTGTGTGTGTGTGTGTGTGTGTGTTTTGATTGGCTCCTGAGGCAGGAGAGGGGAGGGAATTCGGGGAGGCTCAGAGAAGGGAAGGAGCCTTGTGGGACCACAGAGCTTGGGGAGGAACCGCCCTGCAAGCCTGCTTATGAAGTGAACCTGCCCTTAGTGATGGGGAGAAGATAACCTGGAAACTCTTCTTCCCTCTGGGAGGCAGAGGGATGCATGGGGAGGGAAAAGGGTGGTAAGGTAGACTTGCCTAGGAGGGCAGGGTGTTGATCTGGGAAGCCTCTGGGGAGAGCTAACTGAGAACCAGCCTGGGGCTGGGTGGGTGATAAACCCAGGGTTGTTTCAGTTATCAACACAAGGGCCCATGTCTGGGAACTGGAGAAGGTGCTGGGAGGGGGCCAGTGTGTGTTTCTTTGCAGATACCACAGACAGCTGGAGCAGGGGGGAGCTTCTCTTCCCCATTCAACCTCTAGCAGAGAGCACCACTTTCTGAAGCAGCAGCACCAGCTATGGTTATTGTGTTGCCAGTGTGAAGAAGAACTGATGTCTTGTTAACCCTGTGTGCTCCTACTGCTGAAATTCACTGCAGTCTCAAGGTTTAAGCTGGGGAGCTGTACTGAGGGCGTCTTTGATTCAATTTGTAGAGTTTTAGTTAATTGATACCTGCCTTTGACAATTAGATTATTGATACCCTGTTCTGCTATTAACCTCATTCATATGTTGACTGTTTTGTAAATAATAAACTGCATAAGTAATTAGACTGTTTGTACTCTATTGTGTGGGGAAACCACAAGAAAGCACTCCATGGAGAGGTAGTCCCAGCCTTAAGGGCTGGGAGGTTGACTAAAGCTATTTGACATCCCAGGCCCCTGAATCCAGACATGGCTGTGGGTAACATTGTGACTGGGGTTACATAATAAAGAGTTGTTCTGTATTATAAGCCTGCAGATGTTAAGGTTTGTATTCTTTTATTCAAATAACAGGAAAAAAAAGTGTTCTCTTCCGGACTGATAGACAAAATGTCTGAGTGTATATACCCTGCACTAATAAACCTTGCTGGAAACCTGAAATAGCTACTGGTTTTTCTGTTTGATTACATTAATTCTGGGTTTTGTTTTGGGTTGCAGCATAGTTAATAAACAACCTTTTTTTTTTTTTTTTTAATATAAACAGTTCTCAGGATTTACTTTTATTTGTGCTATGAAACCCTTTCTCAAATATTATAGAGTGCACAAGTGACTGCTCTTTAAGGATAGGTACAAATGATCTAGCCAGAAGAAGAGAACAAAGTAACTTGCAACTAAAGGCAGCTAAATCCACAAGCTAATTAGGTATGTCTGTCTCTACAGAGAAGCAGGAGTTAACCTGGTTTATACTTTTTAACAACGCATGTCTTTAGATAATTCCTTATTTGTATTTGTTACTTGCACAAGAATGAAGTTCCTTTGACCCACCTCAAAATACCTGGAGAGACGGAGAGAAGCTATTAATACTTCCATTCCACCTTCATCTTGCAAAATGAGCAACCCCTGTGTTAATTCCCTCTATTACCTTTCTAACAAGAGTGAGCAAGAAACTACAACCAACATATCCAGAGTAATTCTCACTGCTCTAAATTTCCCCTTAAGGTCTTGTCCCCCTGACTGATGAGGAAGTGATATTCATTCAGTGCTTGGACTCCAAGGCAATAGGTTTTTTAGAACAGCTACTGACACACACACCAGAAAACTCTGGTCCCTGTTGTTACAGTTTTCTCTACCACCCAGTTTATAAGGAGCTCTGATGTAGACCTAGTAATGTAACTTAAATTTTCCCATTGTTGTAGCAGGGAGATGGAACAGACTAAAGTACTGTCGATGTAAAGCCAAGTCTTCAGTGATAGAATTCAGCATTGTTCTACTCCATTTCCCAGAAAGTTTTATTTACTTCCTTATTTTCCCTGTATTTATTCTGTTATAACATAGTCTAATCTGTTCATTTCGTGCTGGCCTAGATTTTTTTTCAATCTCTTATTCCTGTGGCCTCTGCTTTCCTTCCGATACAAGGACAGATAGGGGGGAAAAAAACATAACAAAACTCTACCTACCTGAGAATCTGTGTGGGTTTTAGGGTGTGTGGTACTAAGAAAAAAAAAAAACAAAAAAAAACCAACATTCTGTATCACATAAAAACTGAATGCAAATGGACTGAGGCATGACCTGACAAGCCTCTGACTCTACATCCACACAGTGTTCCTTTTCCAGAAATGGCAGTCGAGTTGGCTCAGGATACCTGCTGCTATTTTCTTGTGTGTCATAGTTGTTGAACTGCCAACCTGAAGCCTGCAAAATCAGGCTACAGAACTTATGTGATTAGTAATCATGAGTTTTACACACACCCACCCCTTGAGGTACATTTTATTGGCCTTTTGATTTTGAACTCTTAAGGTATGCCTGGGTCATGTTGTACAACTTTTCTTTGTAGTCAACACACTTAAAAGCATGCAGGTGGTGAGGTTTTTCTTTGTTTCCATTTCTTCTTTAAATTAAAACTGAGAGTGTCCCAGGATTCCAGGTGTCTCAACACCTTCCAGAAAATATACCTAGCATCACAAAACCTGTTAAAAGAATTTCTGACTGTCTCTCTGACCTTTCCAAAAGAAGACACAGAGCAGAATCCTATGTCACAATGGCCCAAATGACACTTATACACAGTTTGTAATACTATACAATGTGCAGTGTGAATACTCCTACTGTTGGCCCCGCATATCTCTCCCTTTTTTGGCTGCCTGCGTAGCTAGCTTGAAACGAAAGACTGGAAAAGAGATGGATATTATCTAATGTGTGATCCAGTAATTAGAGCACTATACTGGGAAATCTTAAGAGATGTAGGTTTAAACTTTTTCTGGGAGCCTAGAACCTGGGTTTCCTGCATCCTGGGTGAGTATGCTAATTATTAGTCAGTTGAACAAAAACATGAGACATTTTCTTCCAGTATCTAACTCTGGCTAGCCAAGGGAGTTTGCCCTGCTACAACTGTAGGACTTAAGTTTGTCCATGTGGCACTGCATACCCTCCTGGACAGACCAAAGCCTGCTGAGCATGTTCAATAGCTATAGGACACTTGTACATGTACACTGGAGGTGGAACAGGATCACAAACTGCATGTAGGTGGCAAAAATTTCACTTATGCATCTAAAAAAGTTTCATTTGGGAGTGTACACTGAAATATAATTACCCCCCCATACTGTGGATAGAATCCCACAGTTTGTGGTACCATTAACAAGTTTTATCTTTTTAATATATATTTGAACCATGTATGTTATTAAAGGATTTGTTCTTTAGGTGTTCTCCCATCACTGTTTGACCACTAGCACATTTACACATGTGGCACTTTTGCCAAATGAGGATTTTGAAAATGGAAACTTGGCAATTAAACAATCTTGAGAAACATTCTAAATTGTCACCAGTTCAGCTTCTCATGCCTTTCTTCTCTCTTCTCCATCAATATATTGATATATGGATGAGATATACTTCTCCTTCATACATAAGGAAAAGAATTAAAAAGTGCCATGTCTCTCTTATAGTTTCTTCAAAATGGTGAATAAAAACTAACATTGTATTGCTATAGCTATGATGTTATTACAAATATAGTGTACATTGGTTGATAAATCAAAACCTATCTTTAAAAGGTTTCTAAGGTTTTTAAATTTTTACTGGTTATAGAGATGACTTAGATGTATAATGGTGAGTACTCATAAAAGCGGTAATAGCATTCAAACTAATGGGAAATTCTAAAATAGGCTTAAGTTGCTATACCAAGAATACTAATGGTAGAGATTTATTTGATTTACTGAGGTTTTAAAACTCAGAGTGGTAGATCAAATAAGCAACCTAGCAATTATCTGTGAAAGTGCATTACAACAAAGAGAAAGTCACCTCATATGGCACCAGATGCATTAGGTATAGGAAGTATCAGGTTCCTTTGTGGTTTCAGTGGGCCATCAAAGGAAACCAACAGCACAAAAGCTCTTGAGAAGTATCAGCAGTGAAATGATTGTTTAAAAAAAAAACAAAAAACACCTAAGCTGCAAAACAGTGATGTAACTAGGGCAGGGACATTAGGTAGCTGGCCCCATGCTCACTTGAGGAGGGGAAAGGGTCCAAAAGAAAAGTACCTTCTTCCACAGTCATACAATGACACCCAAAGGCAAAAGTGATAACCGGAAGTCACCTCTACCTCTGTGTGTGGTACCTTCCCCACATCACTGATCATAGCATTATGTCTCTGGTGTAAAAGACTTGTCCCTTCCATCTCTCCACAT